ATCTTTGTATCTTTGACATGTGAAAACCATCTACCTGGCCTGATGGGAGTGTCTGTCTGTCCGTGTTTAGGCCTGTTTATTGTTGCGCGGGGTGTGGAAGGTGCCCATGTGTGTATTTCTGTGTGCAACAACGATGCTTGTAGTTGTGCAACAGCGATGCATGTAGCTCCACATCCATCGTGGTTGTGAGGGGATGGACGTGTTGTTGCACAGCTGTGTGTGGTACAGAGGTGCACGCCGTGGTGGTGTGCAGGGTGTGTGCTGTAGTAAGAGTGGGGTGGTTGTACATATGTGAGCGGTGTTGGGTGTTGCACCTGCCTGAGGTTCGGGGTGTATGTGAAAGTGTATAGGTGTGGGTGTTTGTTTGTGTGGCGTTGTTATTGCAGTGCTGCGACGGGATCTCCGATACGCATCTTGAACAAACAGAGTTTGGAAACAAACACCGAGGGGAATCCTTTACTATTGCAGAGCAAGCCAGAGGAAATCATACTATATATGGACATCTACGTCATCGAGCACTGAGTCAATCCCCAGACCGTACCAAGTAGATTTAGAGTAAGGGGGAAAGATTGACTTGGTTGTCCTTTTAGGGGCTCACCAACTCTGATTCCCCTAAAAAGGGTGCATCTTAATTGAATAAGTCTGAGAAACACCAGAGTGGGTTACTGGAGAGGGGATTCTCTGCTTCCTGATGACTTGAAAAGGGCGTGAGGTGGGACTCGCCCCTCCCCTGCCTAGACTAAAGTGAGCAGGTCCTGGAGTACCCATTCATAAAAAAAGTAACTTGGAGGGAGCCAGTTTAGAGAAGCGCTTGGCGGACTGACCCGGCATCTTACGGCCCCAGAGCAGATCTAGACATGTTCAGGAACTATGGAGCGGGCAGTACGGATGGCCCGGGATCCTCGTACAACCCTCGCCCTCAGCACCCTGCCCTGCGCAGCATGGGATCGGCCGTCGTTCCAGGGACTCCGGGACCAGGGCAGCCGCAGCAGGTAAGGGGGAAGCGGGGCAAAGGGAAAAGAACTAGGGGGCAGTCGATCTGTCTCCAATCCCCATACCTATTCCGCTGTGTCCGTCTGTCGGTCCTTATTCACACCTCCCCATCTGCCCGTTCCCATGCGCACCTGTCTGTCTGTCCGCCCCCATGCACACCTCCCCTGATGTCTGCCCGGCAGTGCCCAGTCCCCATGCACACCTCCTCCAGAAGCGCTGGGAGGGTACTGGTTTCACAGTGGCTCTAGCGCCCCCATGATACAAATTGTTCCAGCTCCTCTTTCCCCACTGTCAGTCCACTCCCATACCCCCACAGTCTGTCAGTGTACACCCACTCCTCCACTATCAGTCTACTCTCACACCTCCACTGTCTGTGAGTCTACCCCATTTCCCCACAGTCTATGAGTGTACCCTCATTCCCCCACAGTCTGTTGGTTTACCCCCATTCCTTCACTGTCTGTCATACCCACTCTCCTGTCTAATCTATTCTCTAGCCATCCTCATCCCCAGCTGTCTATTCATGCCACTTTCTGATTGTCCTTCCCTTCCTTCCTCACCCACCTAGCTCGCCACCTGCCCGCTAGCCAGTCACCGATCCCCTCCGCAGGCTCTGCCCATGCTGTGCTTTCCCTTTCCTTTCTCGTTTTCGCTCTCGTTTCTTTTGGAGGAGCGGGGGGAGGGGAGCCCTCACTCTCCCTCCTGGGGGGAGCCCCGGTGACTAATGCTCCGGGTTGATTCACCCCACCGCGTGGCGCCTGCTTGTTTGCCCCCTCCCCCCCACACGCAGGCACTCGCGTGCAGACGGCAGAAAAATGCAGGGGTTTCCCCCGCCCGGCGCTCGGTGGGGCCCCCTACTCCGGCAGCTGACTGAGCCTTACGCTGATCTTGCGCTGTGCGGGCCTGGGGTGTCCGTGTCCCTGCCCACCGCCCAGCCACCGTAATGAGACACCCCAGAGACCCTGTTCCAGTCGGGGGGACTCCCCGTCAAATGTCATCCTACAGGGTTTATGACACACAGTATACGCCATCCAGGAGGGGGCTGAGGAAGCACATGCAGCAGGGCATCTAAGTTCAGCGGGTTGGTGGATCGGCCAGACCCGCAGCACTTTAGCTCGGGGAGGAGAGCGGGGTCTAGGAGTTAGAGCTGGAAAGGGGAAGGCAGACGCCTGAGCTCTACGGCTGGGGGGGCTGGGAGTCCGGACTGCTGGGTTCTGGGCCAGCTCTTGGGCAACCACTTCATCTCCGGATTCCTCCGTCCGTGTCCCGCAGGACGGGCACGGAGCTGAAAATCCAGCTGAGGAGGAGGTCAGGGCCAGAACTGCCCACAGAACCCAGCGTCCTGACCCCCAGCTGCCCCCTCCCCTCCCAGAACTGCCCACAGAACCCAGCGTCCTGACCCCCAGCTGCCCCCTCCCCTCCCAGAACTGCCCACAGAACCCAGCGTCCTGACCCCCAGCTGCCCCCTCCCCTCCCAGAACTGCCCACAGAACCCAGCGTCCTGACCCCCAGCTGCCCCCTCCCCTCCCAGAACTGCCCACAGAACCCAGCGTCCTGACCCCCAGCTGCCCCCTCCCCTCCCAGAACTGCCCACAGAACCCAGCGTCCTGACCCCCAGCTGCCCCCTCCCCTCCCAGAACTGCCCACAGAACCCAGCGTCCTGACCCCCAGCTGCCCCCTCCCCTCCCAGAACTGCCCACAGAACCCAGCGTCCTGACCCCCAGCTGCCCCCTCCCCTCCCAGAACTGCCCACAGAACCCAGCGTCCTGACCCCCAGCTGCCCCCTCCCCTCCCAGAACTGCCCACAGAACCCAGCGTCCTGACCCCCAGCTGCCCCCTCCCCTCCCAGAACTGCCCACAGAACCCAGCGTCCTGACCCCCAGCTGCCCCCTCCCCTCCCAGAACTGCCCACAGAACCCAGCGTCCTGACCCCCAGCTGCCCCCTCCCCTCCCAGAACTGCCCACAGAACCCAGCGTCCTGACCCCCAGCTGCCCCCTCCCCTCCCAGAACTGCCCACAGAACCCAGCGTCCTGACCCCCAGCTGCCCCCTCCCCTCCCAGAACTGCCCACAGAACCCAGCGTCCTGACCCCCAGCTGCCCCCTCCCCTCCCAGAACTGCCCACAGAACCCAGCGTCCTGACCCCCAGCTGCCCCCTCCCCTCCCAGAACTGCCCACAGAACCCAGCGTCCTGACCCCCAGCTGCCCCCTCCCCTCCCAGAACTGCCCACAGAACCCAGCGTCCTGACCCCCAGCTGCCCCCTCCCCTCCCAGAACTGCCCACAGAACCCAGCGTCCTGACCCCCAGCTGTCCCCTCCCCTCCCAGAACTGCCCACAGAACCCAGGGTCCTGACCCCCAGGCCATTATACTCCCCTGCCCTCCCTCCCAGTACCAGCAACAGAACCCAGGCATCCTGGCGCCCAGCCCCAGCTGCTGTAGCCACTAGCCTTGGCAGGGGGCCTGGGAAGCTCCGCTCCCATGCCCAGCCCCTGAGGTGTGCTCTCTCTCTGACACAGAAGGCGCGGCCAGCCTGCTGCCCCAGGGCTGGGTGGCACCAATACCCTGCGGGTGACACCTGCACACCAGGGCTGGGAAGGGACCCACAAGGCCAGGGAAACTGGGTCAAGGGTGGGGAGGACAAAGGGCGGGTTATCTGCGGGCGGGATTTCCGCACACACCCCTGCTGCTCACACGCAGGGACACGCCAGATCGTGCTGACTCAGCAGCCCTGGGAGCTGGAATCACCAGTGTGTGCCCAGAGTGGCAGCACAGAGCCCTCTGTGATGTCCCACCCCCAGCAGGTGCCTTGCCTCTGCCTCTCGGAGCCCTTGGCCTCTGTTGCTGAGGGAACGGACTAGAGCCAAGGTGGGGAGGGGACCCCCATGCTATGACCCAGCAAACTCACTTTACTCTGGCAGGCACAGAAGCAGCCATCCCACAACGGCTTTTGGGCTGGATCCAAGCTTGGGGTTTCTAGAGAAGAAGGCCCCATATTACAACCCCATACCCCGGAGCCAGCTGGGGGCTAGATTGGAACTGGCACTAACTGGAGGGGAAAGGGTCTATATCACCATCCCCCACCCCATGAGCTGCAAGTCCCTTCCTCTGCCCCATGCCCTGGGCTCTGTCCCTGACATTCTCTAGCTCCTAAAAAGGCTATGGGACATGGGAATGACTCTAAACCATCCTGTTCTGCTCTGCCCCATTAGCTCCCTTCTCACATAAGTAACCCACATGGGCACCCCTCTGTCTGGGCACGAGGCAAACAGTGGGCATGGCATGGCACTAGCAAGGTACCTGCCCCTCTGCCCATTGCACCAAATCAGCTGTGCTGCCTGCATCACTTGCCCCTGCTGAATGCAATGCTGGCTGGAACGTAGCTGTGCCTCCTAGACACTATTCTGCCAATCACCAATGGGGATTCTCCTAAAGCCTAAGGGGGTTTGTGCCTTTGGGATGGGAGGGCATGAGCCCCCAGCTAGTGTCTAGCCACCATGCTTACAGATAGTACGAACTGTAAAGGCCTTCAGGGCAGCTTTGTATTAAGCAGACAGACTGGGTGGGGAATGGAAGGGGCTATGTCTGAGGGCTAAAAGAGGTCACTTCCAGGGTGACATCGAGCCTAATAGGTACAGTCAGTGTTCCTGGGGTCTACTCCCAGCTCTGGGAGGAGGGGGAGGGGGCAAACTGATGCTGGGAGGTGAGGGAAGAAGCAGGGATGGGGCATTGGGACTCCTGGGTTCTCTGCTAATGACTTGCTCTGTGAACCAGGGCAGAGCCCTCTCTCGGGAGGTTGTGCCTTAGTCCTCCATCTGTAAAATGGAGATATCAAGACTTGGATTTCCCCCTGACCACCAAAGGGGTAAGCCCAATAGAAACCTCTACACTGATCATGAGTTTAAAATCCCCAGGCCAGCAGAGTGGGTAAATTGACTGAAGGGAGCTAGAACCCATTTCCAGCCCCAACACACCAGCACGGCGGTGGGAAGATGCAGGGATCCAAAGGCTCAGGGCTGAGCTTTTAAACAACCTCTTGGAGGAACCCCTGCAGCAATGGGGCCCATTCTTCCATCAGGGCAGGCCTCCGGGCTCCAGCCCTGCTGCCTCACACGGGCGTGCTGCCCAGCCAGTCCAGTGCAGACAGACTCCTAGTCAGTCTTGTCCCCTCCTCAGAGACAAACGCTCCTCAGCACACATGTGCAGTGAGACCAGCCAGCCTTTTCTCAGCAGTCGCCTGCAACCCAGCACTGACACAGTCCATCTGGCCAAGGCAGAACCACACACCATCCCAGCTGTAAGTGATTCCATTTCAGGCTGCTTCTCCCTGAGCGCTGGTGTGAGCCATCAGCCTGGTCCAGAAACAGACTCTATACCCTCTGCAGGTGACCTCCCATCCTTTGTCCGCAGGCTGGGCCTAGCTGAGTTCCCAATCCTGCCTGCCAGAGTTTCCCACTGCTGTACTTCCTGTCTCTCTGACCCCTCTGTGGGTCTGGATGGTTTCAATCAGTTCTATCCAGAACTAATGACCCATTCAGTGGGACCGAGGCAGCAAGACAACACCCCTCATCCTGCACTGCCCTCTAGAGCAGATGTAAGAAACTTCCACTGGGTAGCAATGCAAAGTACAGAGGGAAACTGAGGCACCCAGACTGTTACAAAAAATCCCCATGTTGTGGGTTGAAGGGAGAGATGAACTGTCAGATCTAAGGGAAAGTGTCCAGTAATGGGGTGGGGAGTGGAAGGTTGTTAAACAAGGAACCTTCTGAGGCCTCATCAGGCACCTGAGAATTAGGGCTGACTGACAAAGAGGCACTTCACAGTGATTTAAAGTGGACTGTACCATGAGTAGCTGTATCTCCTTTCTGGTTCTCCTGTGTACACAGGCAGTGGCTGAGATGGAGAACTCACAGCCTGGCAGCTGTGAAAGCAAGATGGGATGGTTTTCTGATAGGTCTATTCTAGGAATTAGTTCAGAGTCAGTCTATGGGCTGGGCTATGCAGGAGCTCAGACTTAACGATCACAAGAGTCCTTTCTGGCCATGTCACCTATGAAGGGTCAGAGGGGAAATGGAGGCTTTCGGAGGCGAAAGGCCCTTCCCCAGCTCAGTGGCAGGAGCCAAGAATCCTGAGCCCCTGTGTAGGGTCTGATTTACTCTCTGAAATTGTCTCCTGTCTTTGTTCAACACCTGCAATTTCCAGACGTTTGGTGCATTTGAAGCTCCTGGCCATATAGCTCCATTAACAACATAGGGGTTTCCCCACACAATTAGCAGGAGAATTCAAGTGACTTGACCCCAGCCTCCCTGCTCTAACTCATTACACCCCATTCCCCTGGGCGGGGAACCCAGGAGTCCTGATTCCCAGTCCTTCCCTGCCTGCTTCTTAGGCTACTGCTTCCACAAGGGTCTCCAAAGTCACAAGGAGACTGACTGCAGCTGGCAGGCCTGCTGACAGGGGAAGTGCTGAAAGGTGGCAGTGCAGTGGGGCTAAAGCCGGCTTCCTGCCCACCCTCAATCTGCACCACTCCCACTCCCAGAAGCATCCAGTATCATGTCCATGCAGTCCTGGGGGGTGGCCAGGGGCAGGGGTGTCTCCTCATGCTGCCACCACACCAAGTGCCAACTCTGCAGCTTCCATTGTCTGGGAGCTGCAAGGTGGTGTTTGTGAACAGTGGTATGTGGAGACCCCCTGTCTTCCCCACCTAGGAGATGCTGGCAAAGGGGTGTGCTTGTTGCTTTCTGGAGCCACATGAGGTAAGCACCTACCTCCCTGCCCTTCTGCACCGATCTAGAGACCGCTTCCCCCCTCCCCCATCCATACTTCCTCCCTGAGCCCATCCCCTGTGCTCTCTGCCCCAGCACGGTGAAAGTGAGTGAGTGTGGGGGAGAGCCCCAGAAGGAGCAGGGGAATGGAATGAGTGGGGGTGGGATCTTGGAGAAGGGGCAGGGCAAGGGTCTTTGGGTTTGTGCTATTAGAGAGTTGACAGCCCTATGGGGCAGGGCATGTGGGAGCCTCGGCCATGCCAGAACAGGAAGTGCAGCCGGAAGTTTGCTGGGCACAGCCAGCACAGGCGCAGCACAGCCCAAATGCCAGGCAGGCAGGCAGGCAGGCAGGCCGGCCGTGTCCATCTGGGTGCAGCTTGAGTGTGCATGGGGCCCACTGACTGTTTTGCCTCAGGGCCAAGAAAAGCTGTTGGCAGGCCTGGGGGCTGGTGACCCAGGATTTGCTTCTGGAGCAATTCATTGCTGTCCCCTGACCCCTAAGCCAGGCCAGGCCCCTTCTGCAGGCTGGAACCACTTTCCCCATGCTCGTGTGTCCATGGCAATGGGGATCTTCCCTCTGTTCCCAAGTGCCAAGGGCCCTTGCGATGCTGGCAGGGCTGCTTCACTAGCTGCAGCCAGAACTGCTCCCCCATTCCCAGGTGTCAGTCCTGCCCCCGTGCAGCCTGTAGTCATGGGGAACCCTCTGTGATTTCAAAGCACCCAGCTCCCCCAGAGCCTCTGGCCTCCTCTAAACTGCCGCCTCCCTTTGTCTCCATAGAAGTTCACTCCAGGCCCAAGTACAGGGGCTGGCAGCTTCATTCCCAGTCTCAACACCATCACCTCCAGCCAGGTCCTGCAGTGGATGGTTCTCGCCCTCCACCTCCACAGCTGCCCCGTACGCCTGCCCCTCCCCCTCCTACCCCACCGGGGCCCGCCCGGGCGTCATCCGCACCATTGGGCCCACGCCTGGGATACGCCGGAGGCACAACGAGCATGTGAGTGGGGCAGCTACTGCAGCAGGGGGAGAGGGGCAAATGCCTGGCTCAGGGGTGCGGAGGCCTGGACTCAGAGCTCCAGGAAGGGAGAGGGGTGGGAGGGAGGAATCCAGGAAGGGATGTGGTGCTGTGCCTCAGTTTCCCTTGGTCCACACTGGCTGGAGGAGGTGGGAGTGGGAAGCGGGGCTTCGCCCGAGCCTGAGGAGGAAGGCGAGTCCCCTTCTCCTTTCTGGGCAACCGACACTGAGGGGACCCTCCCATTCCGCCCTGCGGCTGGTCCCCTTGCCACAAACGCAGCGGGGCAGCGAGGTCACCTAGTGGCCAACGTCGGAATCGCGAACAGGTTTCAGGGCGCTGTCCATCCGGAGCTCTCCAAATGCTTAGAGAGCCGGATCTGAGCACTCTCCTCATACAGGGAGCTGGGGATAACCCCCAGGAGCCCAGGCTGTTAGCCCTCCCGCTCTGACCACTAGACCCCACTCCCCTCCCAGATCCATGCTGCAACCACTAGACCCCACTGTGGTCTTAGAAGGGAGTCTCTCCAGCTGGGATTTGGCTAGGATGCCTGGGCTCACACCCTGGGGGCTGGCAGGAGAGGAAATGACAGCATGCTGAGTCATGAAGCCACAGGCTGACTCAGAGGGGAAGGGGCACTGGGGCCAGCAGCTTAACAGGAGTGTTCCCTCCCCAACCACCCAGCCTGTGAAATCCAGGCAGCCGTCTGAAGCCAAGGAGGGCTGGCTCCCTCCAAGACAGGTTTTAACCCTTGAGAACCTTGCCATGTCCCCAGATTGTGCCCCCCAAATCATCTCTATCCAACCACTAAAGCTAATGCCCTCGCCCTAACTAGAAAACACCCTATCTAATCACAGCACCAAGTAAGGGATCACTGTATAAACAGCCCCCTGTGCCCCACCTCAGAAGTGGCTGCATCTTAATGCACCTTGAGGGGTCCTTGTGGGTATTACCCCTGGGGGTGAATGCCTGACAAGGATTGGTCCCTGGAAATTGCCCATGGACCAGCACAGCAGGGAAGATATATGGCATCATTGCCACTCATTTGAAATCCCCTGCCCCTCTCTTGCCCCATTGCAGATGACCCCTGAGGAAGAGGAGCGGCGCAGGGTAAGACGGGAAAGGAACAAACTGGCTGCAGCAAAATGCCGGAACCGGAGGAAAGAACTAACGGACTGTTTGCAAACGGTGAACACCCTCTACTGAATCTCTCCAACATCGCTCCCGCAACACCGTGTTGGGGCACTGAGGTCAAAGGTCCCCTACAGAGTCCCCCTTTGGCTCTCATTGGAGGTTGCTCATGCAAGCTCTGACCCTGCAAGAGATGGGATCAAAGCCATCTGAACTGTGAGGACTGGAGGCAGGGGCCCAGTATGTGGCAAGATAAGCCCTTAAGCCCTTCCTGCTCCTAGTGCTGGTGACAGAACCAGGCAACCCAACCCTTCCTGTGCTAACCCACCAGATCCCACTGCCGATTTTACCTACAGGTCCTGGCTTCCACCCCCACTCTGGCCACTTAGACCCCACATCCCTCCCATGCCAGGGACAGAACCCAGGAGTCCTGGCTCCCCCTGACCTGTTTCTCCCCCTTCTCCTACAGGAGACAGACATGCTGGAGGAGGAGAAGTCAGTCCTGCAGAAGGAGATTGCAGAGCTGCAAAAACAGAAGGAAAGACTCGAGCTGATCTTGGAGGCCCACAGGCCAGTGTGCAAGGTGCAGAATGAGTCCTCAGGAGAAGAGGAGGAGCAAGGGGGGCTGCCTGCCCCACCCCCTGTCAAGCAGGGGTCCCTGGAGCATCCACCAGCAGTCCCACGTCGGCAACCCCCCAGGGTGCCTCCACGGATCAGCCTTCCCCCCAGCGGGGTCCTGGAGCCTGAGGCCTTGCACACTCCCACCCTCATGGTCACACCCTCACTAACTCCCTTCACTCCCAGCCTGATCTTCACCTACCCTGCCACAGGGGAGGGGGAGCCTCCTGCTGGCTCAGCCTTCACACCTGAGCCCTGCAGTTCTGCCCACCGGCGTGGGAGCAGCAGTGGTGACCAGTCATCTGATTCCCTCAACTCCCCGACCCTGCTGGCGCTCTGACAGGCCTGGCTCCCCCCAGCCATGTTCTTCCTGCTTGAGAACCAGCCTTGTGACCAGGAACCTTCCATGTGGTTCCTTCCAGACCATTTTAGAACTGTTCCCTGTCATCTCAGATCTTTCTGGAACCATCCACCTCAGATGTGATATCATTCTAGGCCATTCCAGCACTTCCTCCATTATCCCAATTTTCTGATTATTCCAGATACATCTGGATCTCCACTTCCACTTAGACTAGTGGCTACATCTACACTGTGGCAGTTTGTCAGACGAGGAAATGCAAATGGAGTGCTCTCATTTGCATATTCTCTTCTGTTCCTTTTTGTGGAAGAGGTTTTTGCGATAAAAAGCCCTGTGTAGATGGGGCCATTTGTTAGAAAAACTCCGTTTTGCGCAAGATCCCTTATTCTTCAAAAAATGAGGTTTACAGGATCTTGTGCAAAACGGGGATTTTCTGACAAATGGCCCCGTCCACACAAGGCTTTTTATCTCAAAAACCTCTTCTGAAAAAAGGATAGGAAGAGAATATGCAAATAAGAGCGCGAGATTTGCAAATGAGCACTCCATTTGTATTTCCTCTTCTGACAAACTGTCGCGCTGTAGTCGTAGCCTCAAACCTTCACTGTCATTATAGATAATTCTAGACTCATCCACCCACTCCATGCCAGGCTCCCAGCTACTCTACACCCATCTGGAATTTCCCCCAGCCACCAGCACTACAACTTCCATTGGCATTCTAAAACCTTCTCTGCCATTGGTGTTTCTTGATTATTCCAGGACTCCCTGCAATCTTTCACCCAGGCGTCAGGAACATGCCCATTCGCTCCCTTTACCAGCCTTGCAGAAAAAGAGTCCTTGTGCTTCGAACCTCAATTATCCCAAGCCCTTCCCATAGCCCCTTCAGATATATTCCAGAGAAGTTCCGCTCTCTATTCCTTCTTGGGGTGTGGCAACCTTACCAAAATTCTCATTATGCTTGCTGTATTTTCTAGAGCCTACCTGAGCTTTCTTGGGCCCTTTCTGGATAGCTCTAGAATCCCCCAGCTATTAATGATCTCATACTAGAACCTAACCAGATGTCGAGTTCAAAAGGCATTGATTCTACATGTTGTCCATTCTAGAACAACTTGTACATTCTAGAACCAGTCCAGCTGTTCTAGGCTGCCATTGCTCATTTTAGAATACTCACGGCTGTTCCAGACCTCGCTTGATGTTTCTAGACCCCCATCTGATGGTTCCAAAATTCCCTCATTCTATAACTCATCTGAACATTACAGACTATTCCCTCCATTCATTTTATAACCCACCCCTTGATCTAGAACTATTACTAGCCCATTTACAGGAATTTTGTGCAAAGTGTGCAGGGTTTTACAGTGCTGGCCAGCCAAACCTCTGGACTTATTATATTTTATTTTTTTTGCTCCCAAAATCCAGAAGCTGATCCAGAACCGCGGGGCGTGCTCTGGGACTGCACAGTATTCATTGTTGGAGTTACCATTTCTACGCTATTTATTGTAACTCAAAGAGTATTTTTCTATCAATGGTATCTCATGTCTCAAGAGACAATTAAAAGCTACAAGTTGAGACAGCTCAGGTGTGTGTTTGGGGGCGGGGTGCAGGGGTTGGTTGCTACATGATGTGTTGGGAGCACTGGGCAGATATAGAAGTCGTGGCAGGGGCAGGTGGCCTGATGGGGACTACAGGGAGTGGGGGTATACGAGAATGTGCATGGCAGCAGTGTATGAGGTGGAGGCATGTGAATTATTGGGAATAGTGTGTGTATAGTGGAGAGTAGGTAAAGTGTCGGGGGGCAGTGGGTACACTGTGTTGTGGTGTCAGTGGGTGTGTGTGTGAGTGCACATACACACACACACACACTGCTGTAGCTCAGCCACAACCCCATGTCCCTGGCACCAGAGGAAAATATTCATTAACTGGCAGCCATACGCTGGTACCCAGTCTACAGGGGACATTCCTTTTCGCTATGGGCCACTACAGTGCCTGGCCTTCTCCCACCTCCCAGCAGAACCACGGGGGTTGGGCCCTCCTGCGCCATGAACCAATCCCTTTTTTCATCAGTGGCACCCAGGCCCCGTGTAGTCTACCCCCCCTGGACTCTGACACTGGCTGGGACTGGGGATAAAGCAGCTTAACTCTGGGACGTGCATCAACATGGAGAGATGAGGGTGCTAGGTAGCAAGTGAAAACTGAAGCCAAGTGGCTCTTTAATCTTTGGCCCTTGGGGTCCGAAGGGAAGCCAGTGGCAGGTGCTTGTTGTGAATGAACAGACTCAGCAGATCCCAGGCCAGATGTTAACTCAACTAATTCTGAATGAGGTGGCCTCAATAGCTCAGCGGGGAGGATGTCGTCTGCCTACTCAATGGGTGCACTACAGAGCCCCTTAACCCTTCCATGCATCCCTAATGCTGACCCATTGCATAGGGGAGGCTCAGGGCAGAAGAATGAAGGATTGAGCCCACCCTGCACTATAGGCACAGGAAGTAGGGATTGGGGGGTGCGGCAGCATCCTTAGGCTTTGCACCCAGCTAGGGTCCCAGCCTGTACCCAGGAGCCCATCTGCCAGCCCCTCCACTGCCTGTGATGCCAACCTCCAACCTTGGGGTCCCAGCCACTGGCCCTGGAGTTGTGAGTGCCAGCCTTGCACCCTGGGGTTCTACTAATGCCTAGGGTCCCAGATGCTGGTCTTGGGGCTCTGTCTCTGGTACTGGTCCAGGACTCTGCATTGCCCCCAGTGGTGACCCCAGCCTAGTGCAGTGAGAGGCACAGACGAGGGTATTGGGAGCACAGCTCAGCACCCCCGCACACAAATTGTCCCAGCATCACTGCCCTGCACTCACCCTGCAGCCATGGCTCCAGTCCCAGAGGGCTGGCTCCTTGCTCCGGGCCATGCCACCCTCACGGGATGGCAGCCACCACTGCAGGTAGGGTAAGTTTGGGGCAGCGGGTCCAAAGCTGCATGTGGCTGTGACTGAGAACCTGGGTCCTGGGAATGCAGTTGCACTGCAGGCTTGAATCAACACAGCAAGGCATTGAGGGTGTGACACAAGAGACTGGCTTTTTTTGTCTGGAAGTGGGAGGCTGAAGGCAGGAGGCCCAGCTCTGCAGTAGTATGTCACTCCCAGCGGGAGCGAGGTGCTGAAATACCACTGAGAAGCTGGGCCAGATGCAGGCATGGAGCCTCCTTTTCCAAGCCATTGCTGGTGTTTCTCAAACTCCTGTGGGAAGTGTGGGCTGAGCAAGTGAATGACTGTGGAGGGGTGGGTGCCTCTTCTGCAGCTTGTCTGTCTGGGCTGCAGCTGATGGCTGGTCCAGCTCCTGCCCTGCAGACCTTGGGAACTGGCTGAGTAGCCTAATGAACAGTGAGACGGGAAAGCCAGCAGCTAAGTGCCCTGCTATCAGCCTGCTAGGCCAAGGGAGGCTTGTGAAGAAGGCAGAGGTAGGTGAAGAGTCAGAGAAAAGTAACTTTCCTGGGCTACTCAAGTTGGCCAACTCCAGTGGAGGAAGGAAGAGTAGGTGGCTGGGCCAGCCGGCCTTCCCCTCCCTCCCTATTGTGGGTCTATTAAGTGTCAGGTGCAGGTCCTAGATCCATCCCTTGCTGGGAATTTGGATTTGGCATTTGGCTTCTTTTTGTGCCTCTCCAGCGTCAGGGCAGAGGCGTAACAACTTAGCCCTTCAGAGGGAGAACAGCTGGGGTTCATTGCTGCCCGAGACTTGTCTCAAGTTGCTGTCGCTGTTTTCTCCTCTCTCTCCCCTGACTGTTCCCCAAGGATCTGTCACAGTTGCCATGGGCATCACATACTCACCAGCAGCTGTTTGAATAACCCCCCTGCCTCACCAGGGGCACCTCATCTCAGTAGAGATGTCCAATTTGATGCAGGTGTTAGTACTCACTTCTGGGAATGATGAACAAGGCCTTACAAACACCCACACTTGACACATTCACCCTCTGCTGGGACAAAGGCAGGGCACTGTCCCTTCTTGGAGATGCCCCGGAAAATAAAAAAACTCATATTTCAGCTTCCTTTCTTGGGATCTTTAACTTACCCTGGGGGAGTTAAATGGAACGTGGCAATGGCGCAGGTGGTCAGAGTGGGAACACAGGCAAGATCTCTTGGTAAGTAGCAAATTGGTGCAGTCTTCTCCCTTTTTTCTCTGTGGAGCCTGTCCTGGGAAGGGCAGGGCAGGAAGCTATGAGGGAGTGGGGCTGCTGGCTTGAGAGAGAACCCCTTGCAGAAGAGAAGTGCTAAGTCCGAGGGGATGTCTACTCTGCAAGTAAAATCCCATGGCTGGCCTGGGCCAGCTGACTAGGCCACAGGGCCTGGGCTAAGGGCGTGTTTCATTGCAGTGCACATGTTCAGGATCAGGGGCCCTGGGAGCCTGAGAGGTGGGAGGGTCCCAGAGCTAGGACAGCAGCCTGAGCTGAAATGTCTACACTGCAGTTAAACAGCCGCATTGCCCGAATCAGCTGGCGTGGACCATCGGAGTGTAACTGACCTTTCTAGGCTCGCTCTCTCCTTCGCTTCAGGAGCTGCCTCTGGAATCAGTTAGGATCTCTCCATGCTGGCTGCAGTCCGAGTAGCCCTGTTCTCTTGGCCTTAGGTCACTGTGGAAAATCCCACGGTGAATGACTCTTTCCTTGCAAAATCCATCCCAGAGACTGC